TACAAAGCATGAATCATCCTGAAATATTGGTCATCCGGCAATGACATGGCCTTTTAGCATATTAGTTACTGGGAGAAGTAGTACTGGTAAGACTAATTTACTTGCGAATCTTGTTCTTGGTGATAAGGATGAATATGTGCAAAGAGGGAAAAAGGGGGGTCTCGCTATATTAAATGTGATGATCTAATTGTTTGTGGGTATCATTCCGATAAGCCAAAATGGGCATATGTGAGATACATATATAATATGATTTCAAAAGACTCCAGAGCGGCTTACTATGAGGATATTAGTTTCAGTTACATTCCTCCTGAAAAAATTCCTAATACAAGAACCTTCTTATCTGAAAGAAGCAAATTAATTATTATTGAGGATCTATGTTTAGCTCCAAAGCATATACAAAATCGAATTGGTCAGTTTTTTGGGAATAGACGTCACAGAAATATTTCATGTATATATGTAATGCAAAAATATCATAAAGTCGATACATTCATTCGCGAAAACTTAACTCATTTAGTATTATTTAACTCTGGTAGCAGTATCCAAGATGTATTTAAGATTGTTGGATGATATACTGATGATGTAAAGGGCGCATCCATGGTTATTAATAGCTACCTCCGCAAAGGTAAGTTTGTTGTATTTGATCTCACCAGGCCGGAGGACGATCCTCTTGCAATTCGGCTAAGGTTTGACACAACGTTAAACCTGCAGAAGAAAATAGAAGCTAGACAGAAGCGTAAAGAAAAAAGTGTGCAAGCTAATTCATAATTTTTACCCGCATAAGTGTGACAGACAAACGGTTCCGCTAAGCGATCATTTCGCAAAAAATATATTATGAATAAGTTGTAAGCTTTAGCTTACTAAATATAGTTGAGATAAATGACTATAATCAGTTAAACAATTGTAATTTCTACCCCATCTCTCAATCTTAATACGGTATTTTTTGGTAGATTAAGATGAGATGGTACTAAATTAATTTGTTTTGCAAACAGAGATGAGATAAATAATTTGTTTGTATTTCCCTTCCCGGGTCTATTAGTATTAATTAAGCTGGGCGCACTTACACTACATTGCATAGAAGGAGTGGTTACCTTGGAACTAGTTAACGAATATGATTTATTTGGTTCCAAAGGGACCTCTTTAGTTTTAGCTTTGAAACAAGAGTAATTCCAATGATTTTTCATCAAATCTTCAGACTTAACTTCATAGCCCCATCTGCGATATCCATCAAAATATACTTTTTTCGGTTTTACTTTAGTGATCTTTACCAATTTCTAGCAATCAAAACAAATAGCTATTTCACTCTTGTGAACTCTAGGCCTGCGATATTCATATGGAATATCTATTAACTCACCATTGACATGGCTGTAATACGCCTTGGTTATTCCTTTTCCAAATGAGGCGAAGAGGCAGAATATATGATAAACACTATATTCTCGCTTAGAAAGCAGTTCTTGTAGAGGAGCTCTTACACAATTAGCCCATTGCTGAGGTGTTTCATGAGGTCTAATAATAGATAAATAATCATATTCTTTTTCTATTTTAACCACTTTTTCATACCGATAGTTATCAGTTTGAGGTCGATACTTAAAAACATGTTCCATATCATATCCGGGACAGAGATTGCTAGGTTTAGGTACTCTTTTATTATAGATATTATCTATTATTATTTTAACTATGTCACCAGGCATATTTAGCAATTTATAGCAATTTCACTGATTTTATCGATTTATAGCAATTTCAATGTCTTATAGCAGTTTGTAACAAGTATATGATAATAAAATATCAGATTCATTTTTATTTGAAACTGGAAGATACATTGTGTATGCATATTTACAAAGAGAAGGGAGCATATACTTCGTAGATTTTTTTCACATCGACACTTTTCTATCTGCGTCAGAATTAGATAAAGAAATATTAATATAAAAAATAGATCACTCAATGATATAGCATTAGGAAAACGGTGGACAACTACCTATGACTGTATTGAAAATTAATTTTATTTACGTTTATATATATATATTTTTTTTATGGTGGATACATTCAATCATTCTCTGCGGTGTGGTTCGGTTGTTTAGGAAGTCTGCGTCACCTTCTTCCTTACACACGCCCCACATTGAGGATGATGATCATGCCCAGAGCAAAAGAAAAAAAGGTATATCTATTTATTTATTTAGATTTTGAGATGGATACATTCAAATTAATTCTCATCCAGTAGCTCAGTGGAGTAACGCGCGGGAAGCTCGTTCGGTCTTCCTCTCCTTACTATATAGACAATTATAATCTGACGATTGCGCCCTCTATGATAGTGTTTTTATAATATATAGAAAAAATAAACGAAATATATGACATGCTTTCAAGGGAGGGAGTATGCAGATTCTAAACCATTCAATGCGAGTCCCTGCGCCATATTATTTCTTGAAACATAATATACAAGTCAGAGGCCCTATCACTTCAATGACAGAAGCGAAATTTTTTGCATGACTCTCCTAAGAAGACTATATTATTAAAAGACAACTAGATTGCATATTTTTGCGGAACAAACAAACTACTATCGCCAAAGCACTGAGCCCTCTGCTCTGTTGAAGCAAGAAGATTGTGCGCATGTTCAATCCCACAACTCGCCGAAGCAAACTCGTGTCAAATAGCTATAGAAGTCGTCTTATCAACACAAAAACAACCTAGTATGAAAAGGGAAGAAAGTGTATTATCGGTAAAAAAAATCAAAATTTTATTACAAAAAAGATTTATATAAGGGGACACTATTGCCTTATACATAATAATTAATCCCATATCGATATTGTACGTGTTTGCATAATTGTTAGCCTCATATTTGTTTTTAACGTTAAGGGGTAGATTACCTGATAAGCTATAAATATCCACACTCTTTTAAATAAAGCATATGCGTATCGGTATAAGATGTTCAATCAACATGCGTCTACAAACATTTTGTCAGTATATAAATTTAGAATAGGGGCTGTACCCTGTAAATACATGTGTGGCTTTATTTTAACACATGCGTCAAATGAGATTACACAAAAATTCGATAATTTAAATTTCGCATATTTTGAACAGTACTTCAACAGTGGCTTAGCGATTTTATATGTGTTTATTAAGAAAAAGCCAACAGCACTTCAACAGTGGCTTAACAGCAGTTATCGTGTGCTCCATTTTAGCACAACACGTAGCAGTAATTTAATTTCACAGCTGTTAGATGACTTAACGGTCCCACGGGTCCGCATGCATAATTTACCAATTCTTATCGCATAAATTCCATATCCCCGACGGCTTCCAGAGGCCGTCGGAGTATAAACTATTTTTTATGATAACGGCGACGTCACGTCACTTGATATTCAGGTTTATCAACTCGAATGAGCGATAAAACCTTGACCGGCTTTAATAATCAATGGCCTGCATTAAATTTTATGCGGTGTCACTCTCCTGCAGAATCATTTCTCACGGTGCGATTTTTTTTATTAACGAATATTACGAATAATACGAATAATGTCTAGACCCTTTTCCTTACTTTATACGATCCCGCGATAAGAATGAGACTTTAAAAGGTTATAAGGGCAATGAGTATAACGTTCTTTATCAGTAGTTTTATCAAAATTCATATGTTACGGGGACTTCGAATCTCCGTCATCTCCGAGATCGTCCGATCTAAACCCACTTTAAACGATCGTCGATTATAAGGGGGTTAATTTCACCAGAAAAAATAACAGAATAGATTCAGTGTTTGGAAGTTATGACCGAGTGGAGTTGCTTTATGGAGAAAAAAAAACTGGCGTTAGACTTGGGTAACGCAATTACCAATCATGTAACTTTTTTTTTCTAGCAAAGTTTTTTAGATTTAGCGAATGGAGGGTATAAAAATAAGCAAGTTCCCCGCCCATAAGATAAGTTAGCAATAACATTATTTTTTGCTCATATATATTTTTTACTTGATTCACTTGCCCGTAATTTATTTTTAAAGTAATGTATTTACCGTTTAATACAGTCTATGAAGACGGTTTTTTACTTACTATGATTTTTTGTATTTAGGTACGTAAAATGACCACCACAAATCCTATTAGCCTTAAGTGTCTTTTACCGGATGGTAATCGTATTAATATTCAGATATGCAAGGAAGATAAGGTTGCAGTGCTTAAAGACGCAGTTAAGAATCAAGCTCATCAAGATTCTGATCTCTACGTTATCATTCCTAAGAATTCGACAGCCGAAATGTTTGATTATTTCAAAAATGGAACTTTTGATCCAAATCAAGTTCATATTATCGTAAAACCAAAGGAATAATATTTTTTTCTTGTATTCGCATTATGTAACAGCGATGTATTTTTTATTATATAAATAAAAAAATATTTTTATTTGTGTATTGTTGCTCCGGCAACAATTTTCATTAAATAAAGAAGGGGGTTGGAACCCCATTTTTTTATTTTTTTTTTACGCGATTGTGTGAACAAGTGTTATACTGTTATTTGGATTTTATTAATGTTAAACCATAATCCAGTAATCTACTAAACTGATTATTTATGTGAAATTGACAGCACGCCTCGCTCTTTCTTCCTTAGTCATTTTTAGAGTCTCAGCAATTATACACATAAGTTCAGCTCTCTCACCATAAAACACGTAAATGGTACCGCTCGAGATGTAAAAAAATATATGGAACCGCAAAATATGGTTTTACAGTATTTTGATATTAATGATTTAGGAAATCGCATCCATATCCTTGTTTATCAAAGATATTTTTTTTTATTTATTTGTATTCGCACTTATAATAGCGATATATATTTTTTATTTGTATATTATGTTGTCGTCCCGGCAATATAATTTTTTATAATAATAAAGGGAGGGGGTCTGCTGGGCTCCCATTTTTGATTTTTACGCGATTTTATGAAATAAAGACCATTCATAGCACGTTATGCTTCTAACTGACTTTGGTACTTTATTAATGAGCGATAAAAAAAATAAATATAATATATAATAATGATAGGATTTATGAATTATGCTACTATTGCGAACTTGAATTTATTACTTGAAGTGTTGCAGGTAAGACAATATTCCAACTTATCTTGGGAATACAACTTCGCTAATTCGGGATCATAAGGGAGCTGATTCTCATTTTCGCGGTACCATTCGCCATGTAATCCATAATTCCCATGTTTTCCATTGCAAATAGGGCATGGTGAGCTCCACGGCTGAGGTGATGCAAAACTATAATTATCAATTCCTCTAAAACTATTTCGGAATTTCAAGTATGTGAAATGCTCTAACACGGATTTGATAATTAACTCTGAATCAGGTTTGGCTTCGAACGTGATAGGCTTGAAATCAGCTATTTTGATAACAAGATTTCGTTTTTCTTCTGGATCTTCAGGTAAAATAGAAATCGGAAGATGAGAATTGAGAGATGCATTTTTGTTTATAGGTAATATGCATACCTCTGTTTTCTTTTTGTTATCTTCAATTTGGGAGGATCCAGAAGTTTCAGAGTTTATCCAAGGATCGAGTCCAGTTTTTTTCTTGTATCTTTTATATAACCTAGAACGAATATTATCTGTCAAAGGGCTTGGCAATTTTGTTAATTTAGCTTCCCACTCCAAATATTCGGGAGTTAACGTTTTATTAGTATTTGTTTGTGTATTCATATTGCAGTTTTATATAATTGCACATCTCTTTAAATTAACAATAGCAGACAAAAATAAATATGCCCCAGAGCCTTTTTTCTCATAAATTCGAAAAAAGAAAAAAGTGATTAGCTTCTGTTTAAATGTAAGTACATATAGTGATCACTTACTTTCTGGCTGAGCCGGCTCACAAATATTGCGAGAAGGCAGGGTTTATGCTGTTACCTCAATTTCAATCCCGCGCTGTTCACATTTAAGATTATAAGATCCAGTTTCATATCTGCCTTCTATACCATTTTCATTATCATGATCTAACTTGCATAGCGGACATAATAATTTATCAGTAAATCCGTAATAATCATCATTTCCATCACTACCTTCTCGATATAAATTAGGATATTGTTTTAATGCTTTATTACGAAAATAAGCGTGATCATAAGTTGGATTAGATGGAGATGTAGTTGATTCCTCCTTGAGATCCGTGAGATCATTATCATCTACCTTAGTTGGAGTGATTTGAGGAATAGATGGTGCGTTTACTTCAGGCAAGATTTTTCCGGGACGGGCCGTCTCAGAAATTTCAGTTACATGATCCGTTTCCATAGACAGCTTTTCCAAAGATATACCAAAATCTATAATCTCTTGAAATTGCGCATCAGTAAGCTCTGAAATGGAATTCGCACTATATGAATTAATATACTTGATCTTATCTAAACCCACTTTTTCGAATAATTTATAGTTTTTCTCGGCTCTCTGAGTTTTCTTACGCAAGCTATCCCGTGATATATCCCTAAGTTGTAGCCCCAATTCTTGTGATCTTCGTTTGCGAAGCAAACTAAGCTGTTCTGTAATGGAATCATAAAGTATACTTCTCGCCTTCTTTTCGCCAAATTTACCACTATTGCTTCTGATAATCTCATCAAGCTGATCTCTGAAATCCTTCCAATAGAGGCACCAACATAAAATTTCTTCCTGATTAGCTCGATTTGCCCTATCTTCAGCATCAATGGCTTTGTCACATAACTGAGCTAGATGTTGCGAGGCTACATCAATACCGTCATAGGTAACTTTTTTACATGTAAAAACTTCAGTCAAATTATTATGGTTTATAGAAGATGAAGTATCTGATTCCGAAGAGAGGTTAAATAATTCATGCTTGAGTTCATTCATTCCTTTTTTCTTGTGCGATCTATTACATGGCTGAATAGCCGAGTTAAGATCATGAGATGTTTTCTCTTTAGGTTGTATTAGAAGAGACTCTTGGGCTTGATGTTTCTTTTTCCGATTTCTCTGCCTAATATCATCACTAATCTTTTTCTTATGTACTTCGTCCAAGAAAGCTATTTCCTCACCCTGTTTGCTTTCTAATATTTGCTCTGTAACAGAATTGAAGTTAGATAGACTATTGTTAGGAGAATTAGTTACCTTGGTAACATTACCATTTTGCATTTGCCTGTAATCCTCCTCCAATTTCGCAACTCTGGCTTTAAGCTCAGCATTCTCTGATTCAAGTTTAGTAGTAACTCCTTTATTTTTTTCTAACTCCTCAATTCTGGCCTTAAGCCCAGCATCTCTAGCCTCAAGTTCAGCTTTCTCGCGCATAATCTTAGCATTCTCAGCCTCTAGATCAATGATACGCTGTCTCAATACTTCAAACTCGGATGAATTAGCTTCGTTAACTGACATGATCAATAATAATTTTATATATGAAAGGAATTGTTCAATGTTTTAAAAATACCAAAAAATTTCCGGGACGGCCCGTCTCAGAAAAATACTGTATGTTATTTTGGCTGATCGTTAACCAAGTTAACGGTTTTTGCCAAGAAAAAAAAATTTATTAAAAATATATTACTCAATTGTGATCTCAAGAATAGCATTAGGAAAACAGTGGACAACTAGTCGTTTTCGTTATTTTTACTGACCGAGTCGGCCACGCGATTAAATCGTTGGATTTAATCCAACAAAATTTGAAAAAATAATATCGATATTCTATAGAATTTCGCCATAGTACTGTGAAACAATGAAGTTTTGTCTGATCGACATTCTACACGAGAAATGGTTAGTCGCTTCAATTTTTTTTTTCATAATGCTTAGCTAATTCTAACCGCAGTGAGATTTGACGTAAAGAAAAAAATTTTCAAATGCCACATATAAAAGTCTTCATAACATCGAGTTTAAGAAATTCTTTCTCGTCCACTCTTTATAAATATTTTCTCACTTCTAGGTAAGGACTTAATTCGCTTAACGTTAATTCGACCTATTTCTGAGGAGAAAGTTTCAAGCTCGAATTAAGATTTTCAAGGTAAATTTCTAAAACCTTATTTTCTTGATTTTTACTTTTCTTTTTCGCTGTTCAGTATGTCTATGTGACATTTGTCTACATTTACAATATAGTTTATAAATGAGGTTTAGCAACAAGAATCTGAATTTTTAATCACGTGTGGAGGGCATTAATCACTTGACAATGCATTTGTACAACAGATTAAAAGGCGTTAGTAATTTTTTTTTTTAGTAAATTTCAGACACACTGTAACGTAACACATTTTTTTTCACCCACAATGTCTGAAGCAAATACTCCAGTTTCAACCTCTACTTCCAGTACAGCAAACAGAAATGAGTCGTCCACACACGCAGATGAAATTAAAAACTGGGATACAGATAAACTTATCAAATTTTTAGAATGCCAGAACTTAAACCTCAAAAAGCATCATTTCGACATTATTCGTGACCAAGAAATAACTGGTTATACTTTTCTTGATTTTACTGAACAAAAATTCCGAGAATGCGGGTTAAAGGTAGGACCAGCATCAGACCTGGCAAAGTTCGTTAGGGAATTTAAAGAGAAAAAAAGGCGCTCGTTCTCTTCGTATAAGACTCAAAAAGACTTGAAAGAGATCTTAATGAAGCATGGGATAGATGGTAATGGTATAGGTACCATCCGTCAATTTCCACCAAGTAAGTTTTTAACACAGATTAGCTTCAGCATTATATGTGTTCACAAAACAAGCTAACCCTTGTTCCGTTTTCTAAGCAACATATCCGCTTAAAGATGACGATGAGGAATTGCAACAATGCATAAAGGAAATTAAGCGTAAATTGGGAAACATGGGGACTATACTTGCTGATAGCAACGAAGCCATGAGGTGTGAATATATTTCACCTATCCTTCACGCTTCACTCTATATTGTCAAGAGAATAACAAAAAAAGAGCTTAGTATAGCTCCTCAGCTTGAAGTTGTTGGTGAAGAAAACACCGGTCGTGTAGACTATGCTATTAAGGCTCTCGAAGAACTTATTTACATCACGGAAGGGAAGTTGCACCAAGTAACCATGGGTTTTGCCCAGAACCTGGTCCAGTGCGAAAGTGCATTGCAAGTAAACAAGAAAAAACGTAAAGCAGATGATGCATTTGGGGAATACTTTGATTATATTTATGGAATTGTAACGACAGGTATAC